AACATTGCGGCCGTTGTCTCGAAGATATTCTGCCCACAGTCGCATCTTGGATCGGTCTCTGAGCTTTTTGGCATCGCCAGGATATCGGAAAATCATTCCAAGGCCAGCGTCAGGAGCGGTTGCGTTCTTCTTTTCGTCTGTTCGTAGGAGATATTCAGAGTAGTTCTCGGCAACAATACCACGTAGCTTTCCTACGCTGCCAACACCTGCCTTGAGACCTCTCTTGAGGCCATCGCAGAATCTCTCACATGCCTGTCGAGTCCCAGCGAGATGTATGATTATTCTTTGCTCTCTACCGTCCTTCTTGTCTTTCTTGCCGTCCTTATCTTTCGGCTCGTCGAACAAGAGTCCGTTCCACGTCGTGAAAGCGAGAGCAAACTAAGAACCATGTAAGCTAGCACTGGAATAATAAATAAGAATTAAGTATAAGGCGGAATACCTGAAAGTTCTGGCTGTTCAGCCTCTCCACCCTGCGGATAGCACAGAGCGGGAATGTGAAGCCATTGCCACTGGGTCCACCGCCATGGGTTTGCCCAGTGAACGCCTGCGAGGTTGACGTGCTGGCGGACTGAGAAAAGCTCGATGGCGTTGTAGAGAAGCACATGTATGCCTCAGACAGGTGAAGCTTGCCTGCGTAATGCCATCCTCGCTCATGGTCTCGGTCTCCGTGGGTTATGTTGGACGGGGGGATTGTAAGCTCGGCATTGATCTCGTACACTGGATGCTGGGATATGGGAAGTCGAAACTGGCCCTGGAAAAGGGTCGCCTTTGAGGGATTTCGATCGGAATTGGAAAGATTCAGGCCCTGTGTCGGGTCGATGAACTGCTGAGCCTTTTGCACGAAGCTCGTCAGGTTAGAGAACATGATTCCTGGCCATTCAACGGCGCATGACGACGCTCAATGGGCAAAGAGGGTTCGCAAACTTGACAGCCGAGGGATCAAGGCAGGGCCGAGTTGGAATTTCGAGACGATTGGGTGTCAAAATTCTCGGATGAAGGGGGTTACAGGAGAGGCCAGGTCCATGAAAGAACGAATGCGGTTGACTTGTGGCAGTTGAAGGGACCTGGAGCTGGCCAGTATGGGGTCAGGGAGCCCACCACTAAGGTGCCCGCCTAAGTATGTCGAGACCCAGGCGGCCAGCAGGCTGGTACACTCCAGAGTCCCCTACCGCCGCCTAAGGTACACATCTGCCTGCCCGCTCCAGGTGGAGCTAAGCAGGGCTGCTTACCTACTACGACTATCATTTGTCTATTCTCCGGGCTGCATCTAGAGCTCGTGTGGCTGGTTGCGTCTGACTAAACCAGCGCCGTCAGCAAGCATCAACTGCGCCACCCGAGACCCCTTAAGGCTCAAGTGGGTGACAGAAGAAATGAGACAGTAGGTTGAAGGGCGGTTATGAGCAGACCAACCTCTACGATGATGAAAATAATACAGCAGTATAAAACGATCTAAGTTGACAATGTTTACTTTGTTTACTTTGTTCCCTCTTATACATTCATCATTAAACCTCACTAATCAGACAATTATAATCGCAGAATCGAATATAGGCGAGCAGTATAATGCTTGAGTGTCTCAGATTCAATGTCTCTCAATTGGCACTTCAATCTCAGGGAAGCTCACCAGCCTTTGAGATTCTCGAGTTTCAGCTTTCACCATCGCCAAGGCGCCCGTGGACCCCGCCTGCCCTTAATAATAGTTTTATTCAATAGAGCATTGGCGAGTAGAGAAGTCGCCGCATAGGCATGTGTGAGCTGGGAATGGTCTTAGGTATACATAAGGTACCTAGGTAGGTAATTTGACCTACTCATGCCAACAATAAGCTGCATGCTATGCCACCCCAGATGCAGAGTTGCACAAATTCGTGGTCTGCCATATCAGACGGCTAGTGAAACGGTGCTCAAACTCGGGTCGAGCATGGCGCCTCCTTTTCACCAGCACCAGGCAAATATGCGATTAAAATAACACCTGGCAGCCTGAGAACGGCGCAGCGGCCATAGAACCGGCCTCTGGAGATCGGCGTTTGAGGATCTCGGAGCGCTGTCTCGAGGAGCCTGCCCAGCATTACGCGTCTGCAGGTAGCACTGATCTGGCGCTTCTGGACGAATCATCCAATCCAATCTGCCCTCGATGCACACTCCCCGCCCCATGCCGGCTCCCAGCCAGAGGTTGCTGACCCCCTCAGAGGAGGTCGCGATGGCGGCAGGAGGTGCTTATACAGTGTCTGGCGGGGTCCCTTAATTCTAGACTGCCCTTTGCGTCATACCGTGGGCGAGCGGGACCGATCAATGGGAACCTCCCCCAGACCCAGGCGGATCGCTATTACTATTACCTCCATGCCATGTACCTATTACTGTCCTGGGGGGGGAGTTGCCCATTAATAAGTCCTTTGTCTGTCCAAGTCGACCTGTTTAGTGTGTACCTTATCCTGCCAGCCGATTGATTCGCCGCTCCGTTCTCCGCCCGTGACCCTCCTGATCTCTACATTCATCTCCCAGCCGTCAGATAATCACTTAGTGCTACCTCGAGTTCTAGGACGCCGAGTCTGTCTTTGTCGACCCCCATTTCCCCGCCCCTCCTATCTATCAGCCCTCGCACTTCTGTATAACAGCAAACGCCAGACAAACTCGACTCGCACTCCCAATTGAGGTATTAATAGCTTCGTCTCCGTCACAGCCAGTCCCGTGCGCGTTGGCTAGTGCACACAGGCGGTACAACTCAACACCGGGCCCAACCGAACCGTTCCATCACACCTGCTCTCACCCAGGTGACCCCTCCTCCTAACCTTCTTCCAGCCTCAGTTGGTTATGGATTTTGCCTGAACCGCCCGAACGCCCGGCCCAGCATCACGAGAAGGACAGAGAGGAAGGGCACGGCACATTAGCAGGTAACCGGCCTCGAGCGACACGGTCTAGGGTGACCAGGAGCCGTCGCTAGTCCACATGGCAGCCACCGTCGCAAAGACACAGGTCCCAGACCTATCAAACGGAATGTCGCCTGCGTCGGCATCCCACGCTGCCATCCACAGTGTCAACGAGGGCGCGATGGCAGTAGCCGGTGGTCACAATGTAGAGCCTTTACCACCCACCCGCAAGTTCGAACTGAACGACTTTAGGCTCGTTCGCACCTTGGGCACAGGTTCGCTCTCACCCACACCCATCCATCGCATTGCGTCAACCATTTAATTGCACATCACCAGAAACGGCTGACCCCCACATTTGCAGGGACATTCGCTCGAGTATGTCTGGTGTGCCCCGCTGGCTCCAGCCCGCAGAGCGGCGACCAGTCAAACATCAAGTACTATGCCATGAAGATCCTGAGAAAGACAGAGGTGATCAAACTCAAACAGATTGACCACGTCCGCCATGAGCGGGCAATCCTCGCCGATGTCGCAGGACATCCCTTCATCACCAACTTGCGTGCCACCTTTGCGGACCGTGATTCCCTGTACATGGTCCTCGACTATGTGCCTGGAGGCGAGCTTTTCAGCTATTTACGGAAATTTCGCCGGTTTGATGAGCCCACGGCCCGTTTCTACGCAGCCGAGATCGTTCTTGTACTAGAGTATCTGCACGAAGATCAGGGTGGCGTGGCCTACAGAGACCTCAAGCCGGAAAACCTCCTGCTGGATGCCGATGGCCACATCAAGTTTGTCGACTTTGGGTTTGCAAAAAGACTCGGGCACCACGGGGACCGACCCGTAGAAACATACACACTATGCGGGACTCCCGAGTATCTGGCGCCGGAGGTAATCCATAACAAGGGTCACACAGCAGCGGTGGACTGGTGGGCTCTCGGCATCCTGGTGTACGAGTTTCTCACAGGATATCCTCCTTTCTGGCACCAGAATCCAATCGAAATATACAAACAGTATGTCGCTTTCCTATTCTTCTTACGTGTCCTACGATGTTTGAGAGGGTTCTGGGAGATATACAGAATGGCGGTACTAACCTGATTCAGAATCGTCGAAAAGCCCGTCCTGTTCCCTCAAAACCCCCCAATATCACCAGAAGCACAGGACCTCATCCTTTCTCTCTGCACCGTTGACCGGTCAAAGAGGCTAGGAAACATAAGCGGCGGCTCCCGGCGAGTCAAGGAACACCCCTTCTTCCGAGACCTAAACTGGGACGACACATATCACCGACGCCACAGAGGGCCCATCATCCCACCAGTACGCTGGCCTGGCGATGCTCAGTGCTTCGACATATACCCCGAGGATGATGGCCGGAGAGACGACTACTCGACCGAGATGGCTGAGAGGTATGATCAGTACTTCCGGGATTTCTGAAACCGAAGCACATGGAGAGGCAAGAAGAAGAGTGCTGTGATTCTTGCAAGAATGAGATATGTACGATACGAACAGGTGGCCAAAAGCAGGTCCTTTTACTTCTTTTTTTTACCTAGCGTATTGGCTGTTTCTTTGAACAGAGCGTTGGAGGAAGTTGGGACATGACCATGGGTGGCAATTGCTACGGAAAGATGGGTCCGGCGTTATGATGATTCTTACCCTTCTTTTTCGGGTTTGCTTTTTTTCTTTCTTAAACTCTCTTCCAGCACTTGTCCTGTCTTAAGCTTTCGAGATGATGATTTAGTATGATGAACCATTAATACATTGGGGGTTTCCCCCCATCCCCCCTCATAACTTGCTGGCACCTTTCTCTGATGAGGGTAACATATGAGCGCTGACTTGAAACTCGATGGAATCTATTGATCTAGCATCCAATCCATCTTCTCTATTATATTATAGTTCCGTGAACCACCGACAAAATTGATGTTGAAGCTCCCAAGCCTGCCTGTTATCCTTCTACCACCACAAAGAACCGTATTCGCCCAGCTCTCTCTATTGTTACATACCAATTATGCAGCACCTGGTATCAGTATATCCGTAAAGCAACCCGGCCCAGGAAATAAGGGAAAATAGTTATCAACTTGAAACGGGGACAAGCAACCAAAACATGCGTACAAAAACAAGACTGGAAGCACAAGAGGCAGAACCTGTTACTCATGTGCTTGCCGCTGTAAGGAACCAGTAACACCCAGCTGCAAGCGCCACAACTGTTCCCAAAATCATGGCGCCTTGCTGGGTGCTCCAAATGAAGCTCGTCCACCCAACGACTGTCTCCTTCCTGCGCGCGGCCACTCTCCTCTCCCAAGCCTCTGGGTCGATCTCGACTGGTAGCCGTACCCGGGGATCTGATTGATCGGCGCCTGTGAGGCTTCCGGCTAGGGTTGCAGGCTCTATCAGCGGAACCGATGCACGCAGGAATACAGGGCGATGGTCACTGGTCGCGACAACTGGCATAGCATTATATGCAACGATTTGGACGGATTCATCGCTAGGAGATGGTGTATCAAGATACAGTACCCGGTCAGTCCAACTCGGATATCGATGGGGAGCAAAGGACCACTCGGGGTTCTCATCCTCGCTGCCCGGCTTGATATCATACTTGTAGGTAGGTGGAAACTTGATTTCTGCCTCGCTCAGGCCGTGGAGGGTACGGTTAGCCTTGCGCTCGCGAGTAAGCTGATCACGAGACAGAAAGGAGAGGTAGTGGTTTTCGGATTCGGGGTCAAGGGAAGGAAAGGCAGCGCCTGGCGGCGGGGACGTGGTGGAGATGCGGTAGTTCAGGTCTCCCGCAACGAAGAGGTGGGAGGATGGTTTGAAGACGGATATATCATGAAGTTGGCGCTGTAGGTCGACATGCTGTTCATCACGGAGAAGCCCTGCCGTTTCCACCTCGTTATCGTCCTCCGAAGAAGCCGGGCTTGCTCCCCGGTGCTTTTCGATCACAACCTCCGGATTCTCAAAGGTCATACCCCTCACAATGGCGGCCCAGTTCGCATTTCTCCTTGCCAGGTTCCATTCCATTGCTGCCAAATGGGTGGCAATAAATGTGACTTCGGTCTCTTTTCCGGCCGTACCCTCAAACAAAGCTCTGATGCCAACTGCACCCTTGTTCCCCATTTCAGCAGCGCCGAACCCAACTTCTGCTTCTTGTATGTTGTGTAGACGGTCTGGGTCGCGGGCGAAGAATAAAATGGCCGTGTAGCCCACATTTCTGGCTCGAACTAAGCTGTAGGGCTTCTTGGGTTGCTCTGTGCGTGTGATGAAGACAACGTCTTGTCTATCGTCTTCGAATTGGAGAGCGGCAAGGTTGAGCGCATCCTCGAATCGTTGGAAATAGGGACTGAGGAAATAGCCACCGATGAACGAGTAACTCATTGGTGCAACCTCCTGCAGAGAACTGCCGGGTGAAACCATGTGTCAGCCACGAGCTCTAGCTGTGCGAATACGTTTGGTGCCACGAGAACACAGAGTCGGCAGGAAGAGCTCTTACAAAACAACTAAATCGGGTAGGCTAGAGGCATTTTGACTGAAGCTGGTTTGCAAATGGCCTGCAAATATGGGCGGATTGATCAGCGCCTTCGCGCAATTGAAAGTGATCACCAGCAGATCCAAGGTGGAGGGCGCCATTTCGTCCTGCGGTGATGTTGTGGACGGCATCACTAGGGTTAGGTCGGTGAGGAAGAGGGGAGGGAGGAAGTTGAGAAAGCCAAGGAAGTGGGTGGGAGGGGGGCCTTCGAATAAAAACGAGAGACCCTTGTTCCCAATGAGTCCTGGATTCTACATGCGAATATGCAGGTCGGTAGAAGAGAGTGACAGGTGTGTAGCTACGATATGGCGGGGAGACTTCCGGACAAGATTGGCTTGTGATGGCAGGTAATGGATGGCATTCCGACAGTAATATAGAAGGTCAAGACTAGGATAGGCAGGGTATTTATCCGCTCTAGGCGCTGTGGCGGCCAGCCTAAAAAATGGAGCTGAGAATGCCTATTCACCAACCAACAGCGGCGCAGGGCCATCGGGATGTGGGTGGCTGCTGCGCCCTCGTCATCCATTCACTGACATCCCTGCTCCATACCTATTGAAGTACTAGGTATCTAGCACTGAATTGCTGCTGATGTTAGGCGTCGCGGTTTGCGGAAAGGCAGAAAAGGACGTACCAACCCTGGGCACTCAGGGTTAGCCGCGTGGTGTGATTGCAATTCTACATCACAACTGTGAGCATGCTTGAGGCAATGGATCCATGGATGTCTAGAACGTCCAGACTGTGTTGTTCGTCGGGCAAGGCCAACCAGGGCAGATAGTAGATAGAATCATTGGCCAGTAGTGGGGATCATCGCGACTCACCTGCACCTACCTCGTGCTCGATTGCTAGTCTTGGGGTCGGTCAGCCAGATAGTCACGCAACCATCTCCCCACCGCACCTCTCCCCAGTCGAGTGCTAGCCTAACGGACGCCGGTTCGTGTTCACAGCTGCATGTCTCTCCACCGGTTTCAACTGGTGGGCCTTGCTTCCACAAAGACAAATGAAGCACACCCATGCGTTTGGGTAGAGGTACTAGCCTGTTTGTCCACTGAACTAAGGAAACCAGAAAGGCCGCCATCTACGCTGGCCTTGTTCGCACATAACACGTTACTTGTTTCCTGGAGCAAGGTGCGGTGACTAAGCAGCTATTGGCTCCCTACTCGGAGCTCATGTGGGCGGTGAGTCCCTCCGCCAATACGTCATATACTGTTGGTTTAAAGCCGACATCCAGATGCCTGAGTGCTCTCACGACAATCTGATGGTCGCAGAACTAGATAGTCATTCAACAGTTTCTCTTCATGGGGCCGCAATTAACATGACATAGTGAAAAGAATGTATTGCTGTGTTCTAACGACTGGTAACAAAGTACTGGGATGATCTGGTCTGGTCTTGTCATGCCCCCTCAAAGAAATGGCTAGATACGCCGTTCCTAGCTTAACTCGGTACAACCCAAGCAATCTCTGTTAATTAGAGGGACAAGAAATCTCAAACTCGGTGGATCCCAATGCGTCTTGACCCGATTTTACCTCCAACCCTCAAAGCTACCAAGCGTATATCTGTTCGCCAAGATAGGTTGATACGTCTGCCGCTCCCGCTCCTCGCCTGTAAGATACCATAACAATACTCGCCATGAGTTGGTAGCTATAGAGCCATGGTAGTTGAAGTAACAACCGCAGCCTACAGGCGTCGTGGTCCCTGCTTTGTAACCAAATCTCGTCCCCCATGATTACCTCCCCAGAAGCCGGACCCGGAGCGCGATTCGAAAGCCAAATTAGGAACTGAGAAAATAAGAAAGTGCAACCGAGTAATAATGAACTAATTAAGGAAAAGAAAGAAATTTCGGGTAGTAACGCAGCTGTACCGCAACGACTGAGGCGGATGGCAGAGAGCGACAAAGGTCAGCACTCTCATAACCAGATCCATCTCCTGGGTCACTTATGAGTCGCACGGGTCAGATGACTTAGAAGAGCTGAAAACTAGCCCTTCCGTTTCTAACCTACTGGCACTCTTGGGATCAAAAGTACCGGACGTGCCGTTCAGATAGAAATCAAGTAGCAACATAGGTTGTGGAGACAGGGTATAACCCTGCCAGATCAAAACCTAACTTGCCACCCAAAATCATCCGAGCCATGTGCTGAATTCGTGAAAAGTTTCCCCTGATGCGTCGAAGAACAAGATAAAGCAGTGCGTAGTATGAGACCGGGCGGGGCGTTCGTTGTCGATAACCAGTGGAATAGGTGACAGTCGGGTCAATCAAGCAATTCCAGCAGAGGCCCCAAAGACAATGTTGTCGTCATGGGTGGCGTCCTCGCTCAAGGAAAAGTATACGGATTTGTTGCCCACGTGCCGCCGCTTCGAGAGTCTCAAATGGGTAAAGAAAGAAAAAAGGAGGGCTAATTCACACATCATTTAGGACGGTAGCTCCCGGAGGCATAGCCAGCTCCTTTTGATGCTGAGCGAAGCCTGTTCATTGTCCACTGAGTCAGCAATAGTTGTCAGCAAATTTCCTTCGGCCAGCGGTATCAAAGCACACTAAACGCGCGAAGGAAAATGAATTCCTTACAAGGAAATAGCCTTGGGATGGCTTGCAAGAGACTCACATCCTGTCGCTTCCGCCAATGGCACGGTTGGTATCCGGGGTGTCAACGCCAGCACCAGATCCACGTTCGAGCATCTTGCGGCGAGAGCTGGGAATAGCATTGGGCTTGGCAGCTCCGGACTGTCCAGCAGCGGCACTAGCTCGGGCGGCACGGGCCTTCTCTTCGTCGTCGTTGGCCTGTCCGGTGGCCTGGGCAATGGCCTGGGCGTTCTTCTGGTACTTGTACACGGTCCAGTCGAAGACGTAGTCGTACTGAAATCCCTCACGGACGAAGAGGTCACGGAAAATCTTTCGGAGGTAGCTGTAGTCCGGCTTGTCGTCGAAACGGAGGGATCGAGTGTAGTTGAGGTAAATGGCGAACTCGTTGGGGAAGCCACGGCAAAGGACCTCGGTAGGTGTGGTCATCTTCTTCTCCATGATGCGGTCATACTTCTGCTTCTTGGTGGCAGCCTTAAGTCCCTGCCAGGGAAGGGATCCCCGGCAGAAGTAGAGCATAACGTATCCAAGGGACTCCATATCATCGCGGCGAGATTGCTCAACACCAAGATGGGTGTTGATCGAGGCATATCGTGCGGTACCAGTAAGGTTCTTGTTCTCTCTGTAAGGAATGTGGAAGTGGGTCTTGGGGTCGCGGTACTTTTTGGCAAGACCGAAGTCGATGACGTTGACCTGGTTTCCACGCTTGCCGATGCCCATCAGGAAGTTGTCGGGCTTGATATCACGGTGAATGAAGGACTTAGCATGGATGTACTCGATGCGAGAAATCAGCTGGTCAGCAAGAAGGAGGACAGTCTTCAGAGAAAACTTTCGGTTGCAGAAGTTGAAAAGATCCTCAAGACTGGGGCCAAGGAGATCCAGGACCATGGCATTGTAGTCACACTCGGTTCCAAACCAACGAACGAAGGGAATACCAACTCCACCGGCGAGGGACTTGTAGACGCGGGCTTCATATTCAAGCTGAGGGTGCTTGGCCTTGACAGACTCAAGCTTGATAGCAATCTCCTCACCGGAGATGATGTTAGTGCCGAGGTAAATATCACCGAAAGAACCGGAACCGATCTTGCGACCGATGCGGTATTTGTTACCGACGCGAAGATCCTATTTTGACATGGTCAGCAAGGTGAAGTCCTCAAGAAGTTGCACAGGCAAGGCATTTGAGCTCTTCGTAGATTGACCAACGATCCAACTTGAGCTACTCGAATCCCCTCCCCGACAATGAAACGGACTTGATGAGTTGGGGTGCAATCATACCATGGTTGTCATCTTTGCTGTTGTTGTCAGAAGTTCGTTCTATCGAATTTCGTGAAGCTGGTGTCTCTGCGGCAAGATGGCTGATGATGAAAGATTAGTATCGATGATCGAACGACATGAATTCATGGGGATGCAGGAAGGCCAACTTATTTAAGTGAAGGGCTTGAAGTTTTGACGAAACAAAAGGGGGTTGATGTGCTGGCAAAAAAGAAAAGATTTGAAGGCAAGGATGTGTTCTACTGGAACAGAATACTAGGATTGGGAAAAACAAGATGAGGAAAATGGTGGCCCGACCACATTTCCCAGCTGTGGTGACATAATGGCTGAACAAGAGAAAAACAGGAATGGATGCTTATAGGGGGGAGCTAAAAAAAGGAACACGCAAACAAAAACCATCTGACCTACCTGCAGGTAAGGAGGGAAATATTGGCGGTTAAAATTGGCGTGCGTGCAGAGCCGCCGATGCGGACTAGAAGGCCGACGAGTTGCAGGTTAAGGTTGGCTTCCTCTCACGACCGAGAAGGCGGAAAAGTCAATTCAACGCACACAGCGGCCGACCGAAGCTGCGTGACGATGAATGTGAGCACACTGCAACGGTGTGCTTTGGGGGCAGTAAATGGTTGATATTAAAGCGGCCGGGTCGAGTGTTCGGAGGTGAACAAAGGGGAGGCGGGAGAGGAAGTGTGTGCGGTGAGTGTTGAGGAAGAAGGATGAATGGAGGGAGGTGGAAAAAAGGAAAGAGTAGGTGGGCAGGTGATGTGGAGAGGAGTCAACTTCAGCAAGGGCGCCGGCGGCAAGGGAGGGGCGGGGAGGCGAAGCAGAAAGGGCAGAAAGAGAAGGGGAAATACAGCGGGTGGCCTTGGCCAAGCCCAGAACGACGCCTAAGCAGGAGCCTAACTTGGCCCCGAACGTGAGCCCAAGCCTGAATCTTGACCCTGGAAGTGCCCGCCGCCGCGTACGTTTGGGCGGGCAGACCCCCTCCCAACTTCAGCCCGGCCTCAAACCCGGACTGCCTCAGGCCATCAGGTGACTGACCGCCCAATGGCCCAGCACGGCACCTTGCACCTGTGTCCAAGCTGGTCCTGGGCTTGATCGCCGCCAGAAGGGAATGAATATCAAACTTGTGTTACGAGAAATACGTACCTGCTGTTCCCGGCCTGACACTTGCATTGCCCAGAATCAGACTACCTACGGGCTTGACCACACATGATGTTGCAAGGAGCGGGCATCCGATTCTCCCTAATGCAGTGATGTAACAGCCAGGCGGACTTCATGCACACTTGATTCCAAGGAATCACTGCACAGGCGGTCATCATCATCACACCCAGCTGGTAGGGAGGGTAGGCAGCGCTACCACTCCTGGTGCATACATAGTAAGTACCTACCACCGCTACACCACCAACCAGCACCATCAGATCTTCCTATCTCCGAGCAGGAGGCCGGCGTGAGTGCAGAAAAAGCAAACAACCAGCCAATGCACGTCGTCCCAGGCCGTTGTCGCCAATCCACTGGCCACCAGCCTCCCACTCAGCTCGGCTCACCTACACTCCTCCCAGCCAATGCCAAGAAGCCAAGGGCTCACTGCACTGCACGTCACGGAAATGCTGGCGGCAAACAGCAGGCCGCCCTAGGCGATTGGATAGGCGGTCGGGGGTCCCGCAGCCAACGCCAGAGAGCACAGGGCAGCGCTGAGACAAGACACCCAGTCACCGCCAAATTAATAAGCCGAGCTGCCGTCAACCCTCCGACCTGCGACTAATAATAAGAAGGCTTATGGTAATATCGCCATGCAGTGCAGCTCATCAAAGGGAAATTCGCAGACATCCATCCAATCATGGCACCTCGCGTGCGCTATGTTTGCAGGCAAACCAGCGCCGCCACCGCCAGCTTTTTTCCATTCCCCTCGCCTGGCTCAATCTGACTTGGCTTGGAGGAGCACGCTAATGACTCGACCCTATTTCCCCAGCAAGAGGGGGACGGACGCCTGATGTCTGCCTCCAGCAGGAGGCATGACAATGCCAAGGCCCGGCTTAGGTCAGGAGGTAGCTGGATGTGCATGTACTTGGGTGTTCCGCCATATTTACCTCAGCCAGGCCGGTTATCAGTCCCCTTGATCTTACATAGGTGGTACCGGCGTCCAATACTGGCTATCAGGTACGACCTGGAAACCGACCGTAGCATGGAATTGTTGCTTTGTGCCTCCTCCTGCCCATTATTAGTCCTGACCTTGCGACACAGGGATTAGGGAAAAGGGCTAGAATTGTTCTCCGTGAGTGATATCCACCCAGTCTCCACGGTGTCGCCGGGCCAAGCGCTTTCGTAGGGTGGCACCGCGTCCCCGAACAAAGCTTCCCGACGGTGCCCAGATGATGTGCCCAGAAGTATCATGGACTGATAGACACCAACACCGATTGGCGAGGATGCCCTGTAGCTGCACATTCCCGCCAGCTAGTCAGGTGAAGGCTCGGGTTGCCGAGAGCAGATGGTGGAGGAGGAGGGCAAAGGGCTCACAACCGGCCGAGATTATATTTCTGACCGCATTGTACCCGGCCATGTTTTGCCGGGTAGCAGGACAAAGGACACCAACTAAACCACGCTCCTATTCCCATTTCATTCGACGGACTAATACCAATCCCAGCCCCTATTGAATGGCGCCGACGGACTAGGTAAGAGGAGAGCTATGTGATTCGCATTGCCGGGTCGGCATTAAACAGAAATAGAAAAAGAAAATACCTAATCTAATGATTGTTCCACCCGAGCAACACCCCTTCAGATCTACACGGAGTGGCTTTGTAAACGCACCGCGATTTGCCGCCTCCCTCCCTATTGGGCACCAACCACCGTCAGCCTCCCGTCAAATGAATCGCCAGCTCACCGGCCTCCGAAGCACTGATGAGTCTGACATGTCATCACTCATGCAGTCCTTCTGCCTTCCCTTTCGGACGTCCCACACTGCCCCTTTGTAACTCATGTATGTATATGCAGGTAGGGTACAACAGGTGCGACGTCTGCGGGTAGCTGTCATCCTCATCATCACCATGTCGTCTGAGACCAGCAAACAAGTCCACCCCTCGGCCAATAGCCAGGATCCCACTCAGGCTGAACAACTAATTCGAATCCTGTTTCAATATTTGCCATTTTCCGTTCCGCTATTCCGCCTGCGCCTGCTCCGATTCGTAGTAGAAACCTCAGCCTGTGATCCCTGAGAAGTGGGATGGATGTGTCCACCAACTGCCGCGCAAAGAGTCTAACCCCAAAACGGCGCCGATCCTCCTCAATTGTAACCGCACTGCAATCTTTGTACACAAATAGCACTCGCAGGTTACACTGCATGAACGCGGAATTCGCCTTTGTGCTTAGTCCGTCAAAGGGCGTGCAATAGCCGTCCCGTGACCCAGCCACTCTTCGTGCTGTACATGAGCCTATTAGGAGGTTACAATCGCATTCCCGTTGTCTTAAAAAGCAGGATAGATGACAAACTCTTCGTATTGGCTCTGCGCAACAGAAATAGAACAGTACACAGAGAAGCAAAGGTCAAGTTGACAATCAACTCTTGCTTGTGGCCGTTATCAATTATGGGCTCAACTGTGCCCTCCAATGGTCATGCAAAGAATGTCTGTCCAACAATATGAATGTAGCTTATTTTCCCCCCTCGCCATAAGCAAGGGCTATCCCAAGATCAGGCTAAACGTAACATGCATGTAGGTACCTGGCTTATTATCTGTACAAAACAAAATATCTTGTGATGGATAGGGAAGTAGGCCAGCGAGCGCAGCTTGATAATGTGTATGCATTTCCCTATGTAGGTAGCCACAAAATGTTTTCTTGCACCTTTTAGGATAACACGGAATTTTTCTTTTCCCAACTCACATGCGTAATTCCCTGGAATGTCAACAAATGCCGATTAGCCTCTCTAACCTCGGAAGGTTTTCCCTAGCAAGGCGGATGTTTGAAATACTGGGCAATGAGAAAGCTTCAATTGTAGCTTGATACCTCTAGCTAAAGATAGCATAGCCTGGTGTGAATAAGCAAAAGTAACTGATGATTATAAATGTAGGTAGCTAAACGTCAGACGAAAGTCATCACCCTCTACGAGCATTCCGCGGACGGTCCACGGACGGGCCAGGCTGCCCACCCCCGATTACCTTGACTGCTATGTACTTTGGTGCGCGAAAATTCTACTGAGATTGAGGGGCGAATTCCCCAGTTCTGGGGGAAACCAAATGGAAAGGGTAAAATGTTCCATTCTAGCGATAGTCCATTTAATTCACCCATAGCTTCGAAAAGAACCAAGTGTCTGAATTTGCCAGCCTCTAATCCCAACTAAAGAATAACTCTCGCGGACAGCAATCAGAGACCATAAATACACGCAGCTTCTCAACTTCTATTTACGATGCCTGTTGCCAATGAAAGATGCCCCAACATAAATAAATTCCAACGGTAAATAACCCGACGATGCTAGAGTAAACCAAACAAATCGCTTCATGACGCTTCCATTATCCCCACGTAGAAAGTAGAATAGGATTATCAGGACGGTGGACCTGAGCGCGGGGGTTGCCATTGAGGCTGAGGTGTGGTAGAACCGGTGTTGCTGTAATATTGCCCAGAAGGCTGTTGAGACGCATATTGCGGCTGCTGCGGCGCATGGTTGGAATTTGCCTGAGGTCGGAATCTCGGGTCAGGGTGGTTCTGGAGAATCTCTTCAACCTTGTTCTCTAATACCTGGCTTGTTTTGTCAAGCCATTTCTTGGCAACTGAACTCCCAAACAGCTTCCCCCCCGCCGGGCGTTGAGAACTTGACGAGTGTGATGGCCCAGCAATTGCTTGGGGTTGGGCTACATAGTGGGTCTTCGGCGGAGGGGGGTAAGCCGTCGAGTAGACTGGGTTGGTGCTCAATCCTACCGAAGGATACGCATGAGAGGTGCTAGGTCTGGGGGGGAGAGGTGGGGGAGGTTGAAGAACATGATATGTCTGGCCTGGGAGAGGGGTGTATGCGTATTGCGTATGCGAAGGTGGTGGGCCGGGTGGCGGAAGACAATCATCTTGCGTAGAAGATGGAGCCTGCGGAGACGGGCCTGCATTTGGAAGAGACTGTCCAGGAGGGGGTTGCGTTGGTGGTTGGCCAAGAGAAGGCGGTGGTTGAGAAGGAGGCTGCCCGTAGGGAGAGGAGAAAGTCTGAGGAGGTAACGGGGATGATGGCTGGCTCTGAGAAACATAGGTAGCCTGAGTAGGGAAATCGGTCTGAGGCAAATGGGGGGCCATCTGCGGCGGAGGCGGGAACAGCGAAGGTTTCTCGGACGGAACAGAATGGGAACCGGAGCCATGTGTTGCAGTCAGCATATAAGGAGGTGGCGGATCCGAGTCAACGGAATGGTCGACTTCCGGAAACTGAGGGAACTTCGATGGCCTCGCCGATGCTTCTGCATTCTGACCACTGCCGGAAGCATATGTTGCTTGCGGAATGAAAGCACTTGACTGCTGGGCAGGTTGAGGGCTGGGTTGGGGACTTGGTAGGGGACTGGGTTGAAAGGTCGGGGCAGCAACAGGAGGAGGTTTAGTCTCAACCGGGATAGGAGTTGGGTCTGGAATAAAAGATGCAACCTGGCCCGGAGCCGGGCTCGTGGGCTTCGAAGGTCCCGGACTACTTCCACTGACAAGTGGATTTGGTGATGGAGGTTGAGCCGTTGCCTTAGCTGGGCCAGAAGCCGGTGGGTGTGGCCATAGAACTATCTCGGCAGGCTGTGGAGGAGATGAACTTTTAGGAGGAACAGGAGGAGTTCCTTGCTGTCCAACATGTACTCCGGCCTCCTGGTGAGCGCTAGAATCAACGGCGGGAGGGCGAGTCTTGAGCGGAACGGGCGGTGGAGGTGACTGGTTGGCCGGGTTGCCTACCTCATATTCAGAATATGGGGCTTGGTAAGGTCTGAGAGAAGGAGACGGTGTTCTACTCCCTAGAGCGGGCGAGCCTGTCGCAGGTATCTTAGGAGACGCCGTAGGTGGAACGGCTGCCAAAGATTGTTGTTCCTTGCCCGCAGGAGATGGATATCTAAACGGTTGAGCTGAGGGCGCTGGCGAAGTTGGAGCGCTCCCAACCATTCCATAGCCTGATGCAGGTGCCGCGGTCGGAACGGCAGCAGCGCTCGCAGACGGCCTTTCATCATATGACGGCCGACGGTACGGCCTATAGGCTTGGCCTGGCTCATGCTTGGGGTGCCCAGCAATCGATGGCGACTTTGGCTCTTCCAGAGAAGTTGGCGGTTGATAGGGCTTGTACTTCTTGGGTGAGAGTGGAGGCGGTGATGACTGCGAAGGTCGAGAAATGTTGAGCGGCGCCGGGATAAAGGACTCTGTTTCGGCTGGACTGGCGGGCCTCATCACAAGAGGCCGGACCTCTGCAGAAGCATCGGAGGCCACAGGACGCCCCGCGAACTTAATCGCCAATGCAGCAGGCACGGCATCATCATCGTCGTTGGCCGCAGCCTGTGCTCTACCGGCTTCGTCCATGATCGGTCGCCTCTGACCTTGCTCATCCAGGTAGAACGGCCACGGATGAGCCTGAGAATCGGGGCCTGTCTCCTTCCTCTCCGGGTATATATTATTCGGGTTGTTGTTGTTGTTGTTGTTGTTGTTGTCCTTTGAAGGTGCCGACTCCCCACTCATTTCAAAGACTAGGTTGCCATCAGGGGGTCTTGCCTCAAGCTCGGCCCCGAACAGCGGCCGCGGGTGGCTGCTGTTTGGGTTCTGCGGTTGGCTCACCATTCTACCTCCTGGGCTGAGGTAGGGCTCTCGGGTCGCAATGCCGCGGGTTCGTGCTTCTTCCGACGTTGTCGTGCAATCAAGGTTGATGACGTTGCGTTGGGAGGACAAGTTGGGCGACAGCTTCTGCGGTGAGGGGTCAGGACCCAGTGGTATTGAAGGCAATATAGCTGAACCGCAGCCAGTTCGACGAGGCGCGAGATAGAATCGCAAGCGCCGGGAAACCCAGAACGTCCCGTTGAATCGCAAACAGAGAGATGTTAGGTAGATTGAATGGACAAGGATTCCGGGTCATCTACCCAAAAAGCTGGCGTGGACGCATGGACATGCAGATCACGCTTGACAATCAGCCCCTCCCCGGTTCAGGTTGGGTAGCTTACCGTCCAGCGGACTGCGGTAGCTTCTTTAGGCGGTGCTTGGGTGCCTAACGCTGAGCCCATGACAGAGGTTAAAGCCACCACCTTCTCAGCCAACAGCCCCTCCCCCCTTCAGCATCCCAAGAACTGCGGGAGAATAGTGGAGGAAGCCCAAGCTGAGGCCAGCCATTGTCAGGTCAGGTAGGTGGGTAGGTTTGGCAGCTGAAGTTCATCGAACCATGACCTGGACCTAGGCCTGGACCTGGACCTGGACATGCTCCCGCCCAAGCCCGCCTGGTACCTTAGTTCATACACCCTGTTCACATTCCACATGGACGTTTGTCTGGGAGTCAAAAGCTTAATTCTTGGCTCCTCTACAAGGCCATGTTACACAAGATGGCCTGACACCTCTGCCTCCTCGTCTTCACTGCAACATGCACGATGGAGCGGAACAACGATCAAATATAAACCAATTCGTTTATTATAGCAAACCCCGGCATAAAATAACTAACCTCCCAATCTCCCAATATTATGTACTGCAGAAAGACATTGTAATCTTTTTGTATGCCCTCCCCTTCAATCATATCCTCTAATGCCGAGGTTGCAAACCAATCTCTTTTCATATACTCTTCTCTTCAGTCAGGCCTGGCACAGTGTCGTGATTCAAGCCTCATCCACTCTAACGCAGCTGGGAATAATAAAAAGCAACGCAGGAAACATAATTTCAAAGACTTCCGCCTCCCCCGCCCCAATATTGAACAACGCCTGCTCCTCTCTACCCGCCTCTCTCATCCGTGACCTTGTCTGCAAATTTTCTTTTTTCCAGTTCTGTGCAACAACAAAATCAATGCGTATGTCCAATATTTTCGATCAATTGCTAGAACAGTCTTGGAGGCCCCTCAAATCGGCGCTTCTCTCGCAAAATGTATGAGAAATGAATGGGAACGAAACAGGATGGACAGAAGCCCAAATGATGGCAAAAAGTTGAAACGAGGAAAGTAAACCCAAAACTGAGAAAAAGAGCAAAGAGCAATGAAAACCTAAGAATATTTCATAATGCAAAGAGGTATCACGTTTCTCGTGCCGACAGATAATCTCCACCAGAAACAGAAATAAATGAACCTGCAACTGTCGACCCCGAGACGAGATGGGGGGAAATCAATGTGCCTGTTGTCGCAAAATGGTATCTCAAACAGCAAGAGACATGTAGAAATGTTCGGGAGAATGCGTGGCACTGAGCAGGGGAGCAGGCGGCCGTCAACTCGTAGTCAATGTCTTTAATCATCCTTCTTCTCCCCTCGCTTCATGCGGTCGTTCCAGCGGCCTTTGCCACGTCGTGTCTCATAATGTGGCGCAATGGATTTCGAGTCGCCCTGAGCGCCTTCGATGGCAGTACGGGTCTTATTACGGTAGCAGTCCACTATGACACATCATTAGTTCCATGTTTTCTTTTTCCAGTGACCTAAATGAAATGAAGCTGACTCACATGCTCGCTGGAGGAAAACGGTCCTGCCGGAAAACACTCGGCTCTGCAGCCACGCCATGCGGAAGCCCAGGTCATTAAGCTTGACCTCTGTACCACGGGCAGACCTACGCGTCCTTGGAACAGACACTTCTTCCTCCCGACCTTCGCCAACGGGGACCTTTACCATCTTCATTCCACGACGGCTTGCCTCCCTGCCCTCGGTCTCTTGTGTGTTGTCATCCTCCATATCGTCAGGGAAGAAGTGGGAGCCTGTGGCGCTTGGGGGAGGGCTTTGCATCTCACGAGGGAAGTAGCTTCGAGGAAACACGCTGGCGCCCTTGCGGAAGCTGTCGGGGATCTCATTGGTGTCGACACCCTCGAGAGTGACTCTCACACGAAGCCTTGATCCGCGGACATTATCCTCGACCAGGATAAACTTCCTCTTCTTAGCCTCGGGGATGTCAGGGAAAAGGTCATCATGGTCCTCAGCTCCCGACCTGCTGTGACGCTTAGCAGGAATGATGCTGCCGGAATGAGGAGCCATGTGAGACATGGAGCCTCCATGGCCGTTAGTAGGATAGCCCTGGTTAGCGTAGCCAGTGAAGACCTGCGCCTGTCTCACATCATCGCCTGGACCGCCATGTGTGGGAGCGGCACCAGGGTGATGGTGGCCGTCATAGTGTCCGTTGTCTAAAGAGGGCTTGGAGTCAGCGCTCTGTATTCTTTGATTTGTAGTACTCGATAGTTCAAAACAGCATTGCAGTGCAGTGAAGTGAAGTGAGGGGCAGTTGAATAACAGGAATGTCTTTCTCCAAACAACGCTGGGGATCATCTTTTTCTATTATACAGACTTGGTAGGGGTTCAGTCATAAGACAAGGTGCTTTCCTGCAGGGATGGATGTCAATAATCCTCCGCTGCAATGCTCCCCTACCCCTGGAACCCCAAGTAGCGAGGGTAAGCGCCTCACCACAGTTGGGGAATAAACTAGCCAGAGCCATGAGAAGCGCAATACCGGAACAACATGTTCAATATCCGTAATGTACAGGGTTGCGCCAATCAACCAACGAATTAGCTGACGCTTCTAGAAGCTCAAGCCTTGCTGTCGTCGTATAAAGACGTCGGTACCTGAAAGCAAGGTCGCCCTAACGCTACTTTAAAAAATGGCAGAAGAAGATCAAACTTTGAACAAGCCCCCCATATCCCATTGTGTGAATTAATAACGACAAAGAAAAACAAACAGACCAACAGACTAGGAAAATGTAGAAAAGCAGGATAGACCGATGCGAGATGATTGGTTGCGTTCCTCAGATAATCAGGGCAGCAAAATAAAAGATGTGGTATCAATTACGGTAGACAAGACATGCCAGACAGGACAGTGAAGTGTAATGCCATGTTATGCGGGTATGGTCAAGGGAGGTGGTATGTGGCCGTCAGGGTAGGAGAGGTTGAGGGTAAGGGTATATAGCCCAGACGACAGCAACGATATGTGCGGCTTTTCGCTAGGGGGATTAAATCACATCTGGTGATGGAACATACCGACTTCTTCCCCGCCTTGTGATCCATCGGGGTGGCTTCCAGGATGATGGTGGTGTAGTGGTTGACCCATGCTGCCTAGTCCAGGCTTGCCCATGGTCGGACCTCCGGGGGCCATGTTTGCGGGCCCTGAGGGCATCCCTGGCTGCGCGCCAGGGGCTGGCATAGGTGAGGTATGTGGCGTACCCTGGACATGCTTTCGCGTGTTCATCTTGGCCATACGACGAACTCTGCGACTTCGGAGTCGTGGGTCTGAGTTGCTGTTTCGCCAGCTGTCAACAGCCCTCTGAATAAGACCTCGCTTTCCCCGAAGGGGGACATTGAGGTGCGCAAGTGCCCATCCAACGCGGTTGCAGTCCGTCTCGTATCCCAAGCGGTTTCCGCGGTACTGGTCCTTGGGGCAGCATGCGCGCGGGTACACGCAGTTTTCCTGTTTGAACTCTTGTGAAAGCTCCTCTGTATTCACCGATTCCACGTCGCACCGGATCGTGTACTCCATCTTGACCCTATCACGCGAATACTCGAATGCGATCCATTGCACTCCATTTCCGTCTTGACGAACAACAGGGGGCGTTGTCGCGGGAATCGGACCAGGCGCGGCGTTGGGGTTTACGCCAGCGGCAGGATTGCCTGGGCTCTGAAGCTGCCCTCCATTCTGAGCATGATGCATGGGAGGCATTGGTGAGGTCTGGGGCTTGTGGAGTTGGAGCGGAACTTGAGACTCGATCTTAGCGCGAGGGCTGTTGGTCATGCCTTGCTGCGCGTGCTGCTGGTGGCTCATGGGGTTGTGAGGCGCGGGATGAGACATCATCATGTTGGGCTGGGAGGTCATGGGCTGTTGAGGATGTTGCGCATGCTGTGCGTATGGCGAGGCGGTCGGCTGTTGGGGCATCGACTGATACTGAGGCTGTGGCTGGTAGTACATTGATTGAGGCATGTGCTGCGACGGCGGTTGGCCGTAGATGCTCCTATGCTGGTCATGCTGATTGGGAGACGCGACAGAGGCAGGCGAGTTTGACTGCGGAGTGTGATATGACATTGGAGGGTATGGAGGCCTCGGCATCTGTGCTGCGGCCATCATCTCGTTTGTGTCTGTGTACATTGGTCAGCTCCGGATCTTTTGAGGCTGCTCACGCGCAACGAGACGCGTGAGCGATTGGCAAAGTTGCGCACCTGCCGACGGATATCCGCCGTTTGCACTAGCTGTGTTGTAGGAGTTTGGGTGGTTATAGTATGAAGGCAGGTTGTCTTGCCCGCCTGAATTCTGCCCGTTTGGTGGATATTGATGCGCAAGCGTGTGGCTTGATGAGTACGCGCCTTGATGCTGCTGAGGCGGCGGTTGGGCCTGCTGCTGGTGATGCTGCTGGTGAACAACGCTCGAGGGCCTGGAGTGCTGCAGCTGAGCAGGTTGAGGACCTTGTTGCTGGTGATGGGCAGGATGCTGCATAGAGAAAACTCCCATTAGTTACACGTCGACACGATACAGCTTCAACGGACAACAAGGAAAACACAAAGATGCAGGACGCGGTGGTGTTATATTCCCCTTGACACTGTCAGGGTCAAGCGAGCTGTGGTGGAGCAGTCATCCCCTGGTGATGACTGGGATGGTACGGGTGAGGCGAACTAGGCCTAGAAGGACCGCTGCTGATAAAGCGCCAGCAAAAAAACTCACGTACTACCGCGACAGGTTGGGGGGGGAGGGGTCGGCCAAAGTCCTGGACCCGATTAACCCGAAATCAGAGGACCTCTTGGTCTGTCGATTCTCGTGGCAATGTGCTGACGGAGGGCTGGGGAGAAAACGAAGGACGTGCGAGGAATGTCGCGATGCTTTAGCTGGTTGGTGGACACTACAACAACCTTTATCTTCGAAGTATGAAGACCGCCAAAAGCCAAAAAGCAAGGGCACGTTCGAGGCAGAGGAAAAAAAAAACCGGCGATCGCAGCCAAGGTACGCCAGCAGAGTGACAAAGACGGGGGCAAGGTGAAGGAGAGCAGGGGAGCAGATATTTGAACCAAGATTATGGGGATTGGGTCCAGGTACGTAGGATGAGAAGTGGGTAAAGCAACGGGGTAATGTATACTTCG